GATAAAAGTACATTAATTTCATAATATCTTTTAGAAAAGCTTCTTGGAAGCTTAATAGATACAACTTTGTCTTTATACATATTTGTAGTTGATTGTTAGGTTAGAAACTTGGTCAACAACTTATTTATGTGTTACATGTAATAATAGCTGGTGGAACAAGCTAACTATGTAACACACATATTGTGAGTCACTAAATTGACTTACTTAGGTATTAAGTATATAAAATGCACTTATTATACTTAGAATCTCAGATTTTTAGAATTAATAATAGAAATTTTAGAAAAAAATAGAAAATAGAGAGTTAATAATAGATATATAATCCAAAATAGAATTTTGTAAAAATAATTCAACAAGAATATGTTTTTTAATTAGCTAATATTGGATGAAGGACCAAGAGAAGTAGTCTTGTAAAACAAAGAAAAAGAAAAATATTATTTAATAATAACCTTTAATATATATATTATAGGAAATAAATAAATAAATGAAATTACTAGCAAAGTCAAAAAGAAAAAATATATATTTATATATATATATATATATATATGGTAGAAGGAAGGATTAAAAGAGTGAAAAAGAAAGTAGAAGAAAAGAAGAAGAAAAAAGTAGAAAATAGAAAGAAGAAAAAGAAGAAAAAGAGGAAAAAAGATATAAAGAAAAAAGAAGAGAAGGTGATGAGAAGGATGAGAGGCTGCCCAGGAACGGCAGCAGCCTCTTTGTCGATAAGGGTCCGGCCCCTCGGATTCCTGAATTTCTTGTTTTTTTTATTTTTTTGGGTCTTGTGCGATGCATTCCGGAGGCTCCAATCTGCACGGTGTGATTTTCTTCAATTGGTGTGTGTTGCTGCAAGTTTTTATTCCTTCCGTCAAAGTATTAGAAGGCGGGTGACGTGGTTCTCTTAGGCGTCGTTTCTGATTTTTTCAAGCAGTGCGTGCGGTGTTGTGAGAAGGTGTTTGTCAACACCTGTTAGATCCCAAGTGGAATTGGATTTCTGCGATTGAAGAGCAAGCTTGCGATGCGGCAAAATTTTGGGCGACAATTGGTTCTCGCCTTCTCTTCTCTTCCACTCTCTCCTTGCCCCTCTTGTTTTTTTTCTCTGTTTTTTTTTCTGATTGCTGTCGGAGAGGTGCGGTTCGGTGTGTTAGAGCTCCAACGTGAATGTTTTTTTGTTCTCAGCATCGTCTTCCTGGGTGGCAGCTGGTTTTGTTTTCGATTAGAGCACTGTGATGGTGTCGCAATACTCTCTTGTTTTTACGTATGCGGCAAAGAGTTGTAGGCGGCGGAGAGTAACTATTTCAGGTGGCTTCAACAATCAACTACTACAATCAACCACTAGGAAAACTAGCTCAAAGTTGGTCAACGACGGTGGTGGTTCCGCAGGCGCAGTTATTAAGCATCAAAATTGACCAATCTAGTTTGATTCCTTTATTCTGAGGGAATTCGGGAAGCCATTCACACCCTCACACTTCGTCACTGATTTCTTCTCTGCATATTGCGTTGCTCAGTGGCACCGAGATCTATGGAGTGTCGTCTCTTTGATAACTCTTGGCCATCCTTTCCTCTATCAGCTTGGAATCGCAGAGTGGAGTCGTAGCAAGATCTTTACCAAGTATTGAGAAGCTAGCGAGTGAGCTCTTGCATCAAGGCTTGCAAAACTTATATTTGGATGATATTTTTATGGATGAAAATTAATACAAACAAAATAATAATAATAATAATAATAATAATAATCTAATTAAGAATTAAAAGGAAGAATTTTGATATAAGCAAACTATAAAAGAATTATTATTATAAGTGTGAGTTAATTGTAGAAGTTGGACTTAATTACTTGGTGATAAAGAAGATTAAAGAGTGAATTGATTAGGATTAATTAATAATTCTAACTCCAAAATTTCACATTGTTATTTCACTTGTTGTGAATTGGAATAAATTTTCAAATAGCGGAGGTTTATTTTAACTCATTTATTTAGAAACTTGCTTGCAAGTTAAGACATATGACTTGTAAAGTCAATACGTATTAGATAGTTTATACAAAGTATTGTCATATAGCTCCAAGTTAGATAGTATATACAGAGACAAGAGTGAAGCCTTTTTCACTCTTGTCAATACCTTTCTTGTTCTTAGTCTAGTTTTAAGAGTTTATATTCTTCTTGTCTTTGGCAATAGTCATTCTAGTCTTAATACCATATTACTTTTGGAGTGAATATTTATTCTTCTTGAGTTACTTAAAATTGTTTTAAGGCTCTTCTTATTTTGATTTATATCCTTGACACCTATCAATCAACTATAACCACATCTAAAGTCAAATTTGCATCTATAAAGCTTTTAAAAAACTTCACTACATGATGTTATCAAATCTACCTTTATTTTTCTTTTATCTAGCACTCATCAACTCGGTAATTATTTATGTCTTTAACATACAAACAAATTTCTTTTAAAAAACTTCTACCTACAAAAATATATATATATATATATATATATTTCTTGTTTTTATAAATTAATTGATATTATATTAAAATTAACTAATTTAAAAATTCAATCATATATATGTGATTGAAATATTTTCTAATGCTTGTTGGAACTTGATAAACATATTGCTACAAATTTTGCCAAAAAGATTTCAGATTTTTCTTTGAAAGATAAATAATCTTGTTTTGTTTCTAAAGAATTTGATAGGTTTTTTATAGGAATAAAACATATATATATATATATATATTTATATCTATATAAACCAAAAAATTTAAATAGAAATTAAAGATATCTTATTTTTAATGCTTTCAAAAAACTTTCAAAAATTAAAATATTAAAATATAAAATAAAATAAAAGAACCTGAAATTATTATTTCAGAGTACAGTAACAAATTATTATTTTTATATAACATAACTTCAAATCTAATTATGATTTTAGTAATATTTTTAATTATATTCAATATTTTAAATGTAATATATTAAAATTTTAATTTTTTTATCACTTGAAAATATTTTTGTATACCAAATTTTAGTATAATTCATTCTAAAGTAGTTTAAAATCCAATAAATATTTTAGTAATTATATGCTTTAAAAACAAATATTTTTATTGATTAAAATTTAATGAAAATTTATTATAAATAAAATAAGACTTACAAATCTAGAATATATATATATATATATATATATATATATATATATATATATATATAGGTGTAATTTTAATAAAATTCATATTATACTAATCTTATATATATATATATATATATATATATATATATAGTGCTTACATAATAAGTATCTTTAATATTAAATCTATAAGTTTTATATTACCATATTATAAGATTTTATAAGTTAAAGAATATAAAATAATTTTTCAAAGTCTAAAAACCTTTGTTTTTCTATAAAATTATATTAGTAGAAATTATACTTGTTTTGATTATTTTAAGAGTAGTAGTATTCTACCAACTTAATCTTTTAATTGGTTCTTGATTTTTTTAGTCTCTCTCTCTATATATATATATATATATATAGAGAGAGAGAGAGAGAGAGAGAGAGAGAGAGAGAGAGATAATTAAAATTTAATAAATCTTTGTGAGATTTTAAAACATGTTATAGTTACAAGAAAATGAAATATAATTTTTGAAAGTTTTTTCTACTTTATTTATACACCTTAAACAACATTAAATTTCCAAATACGTATTTTTATTAATAATTTTATCTTTTCATAATTTTTTCTGATGATTAGAATATACAAATTTTTATTCAAATATAATAAAATAAATATATGAATAAATAAAACCACAAAAAAGTCCATATTTCTAACCTAAAATGTTTTGTATCTATTACTACAACCACTTGGTTTTCTTAACTACATATGCCACCAACACAGAAGTCATTTCAAATTCTAATTTGCACACTTATTATTATAGATATTAATTGAAAAGATGTGCAATAATTCACAACCACACTCACTCTAAACTAATTTCTCCAACCTTCATTGTTTTTTTCTTTTTTCTTTTCATTTTCTTTATTTATTTGACACAAACACCAACACTACAACACATACCATGTGATTAGAACACATATACTTGTGAAAAAAAAACAGCAAACGCACAAGATTATTTAACACCATTTATAGACTACCTACCTTTGACTTCACTTTTGTCCTTTTTGATAGTCAAGCCATGAGGCATCACAATTCGGGGTCCCTCATCCAAACTAGTGGTTGTACATCTATAAAAAAATAATAAAAAAATAAAATAAATAAATAAAAAATCACCACTAACTTCGATGTTCCTCGTGCAAGTTATCACCCAAAGTGTAAAACAATTCATTCCACATTAGGATAAAGACACGTTTGTGAAGGGAGAAAGAACGTGTCTAGCTAAAAGCAGAAGCTGTTGGAATGCAAAAAAATAAAAATAAAAACAACACATGTGGAGCAAGATTTGTGAAAGCCACATAACAGCAATTGCATGGAATCGTTCACAAAAGAAGCAAAAAATACAACTTTGTTGAATCTATGTGCAGAGTCAAGTTGGGTGCAGTCAAACTATGCAGGAGAAAAACAAGGCATGGGAAATCAAGCTTTGATGCAGATTCCAATGGTTTGTTAGCACCGTGAGGCATAGGAAATTGCTGTTACCTTGGTCTCACAAAAGCAATTTCAGAGATTGTTTTCATGGAAGAAGTTGGGCGACCATGAACAAAGTTGAGAGGCTCAAATAAGAAACCTCTCAACTCCATTGCTATCATGAAAACGGACTTGAAAACAAATATCCTCACTAATGATATATATATATATATATATATATATATACACATACATACATCTAAAGCTTTCTTTGGGGAGCCGCTTTGCTTCAGGAAGAAGTTCTGTCACACTCTCATGAATTAAAGAGTTATGAACAAATCTTAGACAGCTGTCAAACCAGTCTAGAACTACGATAAACAAATTATAAGTTCACTCCATGCATTGGTAGGGAGATCACTTTTGCATTCCACAGATGTAAGCGCATGAGGAACAAGCCAATTGCAAGCAAAGTTGCATATGATTAATGAAACATAGGCACTTTACGTGAATCAGCGAAACATACGCGGCCTAGACAACACAAAGAGGGCCGTATTACAACGCACATAAGTTAAATCAATTACTTAAAATATTTTCTAAACCTGTTCCAAAGCAAAACTTGACTTCACAAACTGTTTGAAGCCGAAGCATGAATAGATTAACGCCTAACTTGTTGGCATGCTTGCTGTAACATCCTGCCAACACCAGCTATCAGTCTATACCACTGACAAACACAGTTAAAACAAAGGTAACAAGATCGATTATTCTTCTCAAGTAGGGCCACGAACTGTGCTCTGAATACAAGCCATTCTCTAGCATGTATCAGAATTTGTGTAACCGAAACTCTGAACCCTTGGCCCTGTTGGTCGAAATGTAAAGAGCGAGCAAGGAAGTGCACAGCACCCATTCTCAACAATCACCGAATTGTGACTGACGACTGTACCCTCCAAAGCCCTACTTAAGCTAACCCTCAATAGATAGAGCACCGACACCACGTAAATCATTCCAATATCAATTGCGCTTTCAAAGAGTAATAACAAAAAGGTGAAGAGTCAAAGGATCTCGGAATACAGATTATTATGCCGGAAATGCAAAATGCGACTGTAAGATCATTGGTCAGAGTTGCATGGGCACTGCAGGGCCATGCTCTCACCCCTACTGACCTTCTGAAAAACGAAATTTCACCAATGACTTCATCTACGTATGAGCAACAAAGGGTTTGTAGAGGTCGTGGGTAAATGGGTTTCATCTCAGAGGCGATTGGTTGATTGCCTGCCGTGTCCTACGAACTTCGAGGTTTGGTGATCTCTACCCTGTTAGTGGGTACGAATTGAGTAACAACTTTATGTTTTAGGGTTTAGAGATAATATCGAAGCGTCTCAGCATTCTGATATGCAGTCGTTTCAAGGATCTTACCACGTCTGCAAGCCAAGTGCGATGACGCTGAAACTCGCTCGGAAATTTATTACCCTAAAGCATAGCCCTGCATACTTGTGACTGTTGCCATCTGATATCTGCTCGCGTTAAACATGATTGTTGCAGTTCATGTAATAGACTGTGCCACCAGTAGCCGCAATTTCTCTCTCAAATTCAAGCATGGTGAGAAGCTTTGGCCTCAAAATGTCGAACGCTTCTTTGACCTTCTCCAGAGCATCCAGACAACCTTGCTTGTCTTCTCGGCTAACGCAGTCGCGGAATTTCCCACACCAAATCGCGACCTGGTGAGCACCGATAGAAGCATTCGAGTTTCCAATTTGGCAACCGTAACTCCAAACCGGGCTGCAGAAATGATAATCCACGGGATCTGTCTTTAAAGCTTTTTCAAGCTCCTCAATGCAAGAAGCGCATTCCTCCATATGGCCGGTGATGATCTCCTCTACGAAGTTGGGATTCTCGGCATCTTGAAGCTCCTGCAGCTCGCTGAAGCGGTAGTTCAGCAGCTCCTCTCGATACATGCTGTTAACTAGTTCCTCGTGCCGCGCTTGTAATGCTTCCAGATCCTGCCATTTCTCCTCGCTGGCCGTCATCTTCTCATCTTCATCGCTCGAATCCTCCACATACTTGAATTCGAGACCCATCTAGCTGGATACTTGTCTTCAAAAGCCTCAAACGCCTACCTCTGATATCAGTGCCCCCACACCCCCAGAATGTTCAGCTCACACCCTCAATAAAACTCAATCAAACAAATTCGGCGTTAAACCTAATCGCGCTTTTTAGATTGTCGGTGAGCCCTGGCTTTGCTACTACTGATGGATGAACCCCGTGGATGAAACATCCACGATGCTGTAGTTTCTGATAACGGGTTGACAGAGCTCCCACCACAAATGTCAGTAATGAGAAGAAGAGCAATTTGAATATAAATTTGATCGTGATCTTCGCCTACCTTCTGTGAATATTGGTGCACATGGTTAGGTGATTTCAAAGAGGCAGACAACATTGGACCCAATAAAGATTATGTTAGAGTGATGATCTTGTGCATTTGCAGGAGAGAGTCCAGGAGTGACTAAACTCTGATTCTAACGAGATGTCCCACTAGGGTTTAATCTCCACTTCCAGAAGTTTCAGACATATCGTTCTCTTTGTCATTGCATTCTCGTTTTCGGAGGTTCGGGTTCCTCAATCTGGTGGAGTGAGTGGAATCGTGGTGCGTGTGCGGACACTGCAGAGAGCGTTAGTTCCGCTCTATCTTCTGCCATTCGTGTTACTGACAGGAAAGCATTCTCGTCGCGTAATTTGCGAGGATGGATTGTGCTTGAGGGCCTTGTTGGGAGACGTTGGGAGTGTAAATGGAATTTGGTTGAGACGCGCTTATGATTCTCTGGACGAGAGGGTTTTCGCTTGAATCCATACAAGCTTACATAAACTATTGGAGATACGTGCTCCATGTGCTTGTAAGACTAGGAAAATTGGATTTCGTCTTCGCGGGTTTGTGCTTATGCGTTTGACTTCATTGTGACCGTTTACGCACACTCTGTTATTGATGCTCTTGACTGCTAGGCAATAATATTCATAGTTCCGATTTTCCACTGCCGTCTTTATTAAAGAGGAAAGTCTGCATGACTGAAATTGAAATCTCTTTTTTCGTACTTGTCCTCATCCTCTGTCTCATTTTCTATGGCTAGCCATGTCACCGGTCTGCTCTTTGAAGATACACTAAGCATTACTTTCTGCTCATAGTTTCTTTTATCGAGATCAAATGCCGATGCAGATGAAGAGATTCCTAGATGGTGTGTCTACTCGCCTTTACACATGTAGCCAAGAGAGGTTTTCTGTTACTTCGTTGCCTCTTTCAACTTGGCAGTCTTCTTTTCTCAGTGATGGACACTTTGCTGCTTGAATAATCTAGTTGTGCTTAAAGCTTTATAAAGATTAGGATGCCAATTATTGGTGCCAGATTGCACCATCCTACCTCCTTAACGCTCTCTCAAAGGTCTTCATTTGACAATCGCTTATTGCTAGCATTTACAGAAGGGTCCCAGGTATAGCAGAAACCCTTCGATGTTTCGACCGGTGAACGGTTCCAGAAAAATCTCTTGCTACTTTTGCTGTGGTTGATATTGGCAACTTCCACTCATTGTTACTAACTTTGCAGTGGAGTATCTGAGACCTGTGGCTAGGTGAGCGAAGTGGATGTGTACAACGAAGGTTGGGGCACATTCTATGAAAAACCCTGGATTGGTGTTGCTTGATCATAAGAGGGACTGATAGCCATCGGTGGTGCGGAACGTGTTGTCACTGTCATGGATCTCATGTAATGAGCCGAATTGCTCCTCTCAAGTTTCAACATGTGGTTTTGTAACATACATTGCACATTTTTTGGTGTCAATGATTTTCATACCGGTGCAGTAATGTCTATTGTCTTAGAAGGCAAGTACTGCTTGGTACTGCTTCATGAGCTGAGGTTTTTACTATGGCAGATGCACTCCAAGGTCACAATGGATTGGGTGCTTGTAGTATAAGCTAAGTTGCTCAAATACTTTACATACTTTGTTCCGCACTGCCTTAATCTTATGCCACTTCGGTTCTTTTGCAGTGCTTTGAGGCCTCCTTGCAGGCTAGAGTGAAGATGGCACAATTTAAGCAGGCCATGCGACAGGGGACGCAGACCTTGGCTTGTAAGCTTTGGACCAAGATCCAACACATGTCCCTGTGCCCTACCTGTGTGCACAATTAGGAATTCATGTTAGATAGCAAATGAAGAAATAAGATTTAATAACAGTTTAAAGAGTATCTTTGTGGAAGAAATAATTAATGAGATTAAGTCACAGATTGCATATACTAGGAGAACCTCGAAAGCCTGATGAGACAAAAAGAATTCCTTTTGTTTTCTTACTTGGGTACTTTTTACATCCAAAGCTGTGAGATTACTTTTTATGACGAAATTTCCTATTAATGGAAATATGTTCATATGATTGTTCCATATTATTGTGACTATTTGGCAAAATGTGCATGAAAGATTTATGCACAATCAAGCAAAGTATAAGCAGTTAATTACATTGTATTTGAATGAATTATTATATTGAATGTATATTTTTAATTTTTTTTGAGATGATCTATCAAGTTTTGAAGATAATTGTGAAATCCATAATTTCAATAATGGTGTACAATGTGAATTTGTATGTTGTAGAAGTCTTTGATATCAATGTGCATAAATAGTACATATTTTAAGTGTAATTATAAGGCTTTAACTAGGGACACACCCCTAAATTGCTCATGTCACACCCCTTTGATAACTCACCACAAAAAGAATTGCAGTCTGATGGCAAAATAGAACAGAAAAGACCCTCAGGAAAGCACACAATAACAAGGTTCTATGTTGTCCCTGGCAAGGAAGACTTGTTGTCCCTGGCAATAAGGCTTTTGGTGGTTTCAAAGGCAGTCTTGGTGTGGATCTTCCAAATGATGAAGGTCTCAAGATCAGGTGGTAGTATAGTGGTAGTCTTAAGATCAACAAATCCAAACATGTTGTCAAGGAAGGGAGGTGTGTCCCTAGTAGCGGCCTGATTATAAATCTAAGTTTTGGTATTTTGGACTAAACGTTAGCTTTATAATTAAATTGAATTAGACCAAAAAAGCACAAACCTCAAAACTATCAAAGAATTGAGATTTCATATTCTTCTCACAAAATGCACAAGAATTATATAAATCATTTTAGACTATTTTAAAATGTGTGTATAATATTAATATAAAGATTTTTAAACAATCAATACATAAACATGGATCAAAATAACTATAGTAAACTCACTTATAAAATAAATTTATACATGATTTTTTATCATAACACGAAAAATAAAGAAATAAAAACAATAAACACATATTACGTAAATTATGCACTTAATTCATTAATAAGATAATAAAATTAAATGTTATAAAATCAAATAAAAAACTCAATTTTATAAATAAAATGCAGGATGATAATTTTATTGTTTATTTACATCTCATTAAGAATTTTTTAATGAATCAATTATTGTAAAGTTTAAATATATATATATATATATATATATATATATATATTAAAAAAATATTTAAATTGTAATAAATCAAAGAAACACTAGGTTGGAAAATATAATTAATTTGATAAGATATTATTAAATTTCTAATTTTTAGGAATAAGTCATTTTTTTGTCTCCAAATATATCTACTAACAACAAAGTTATGTAGATGTTTTTTAAAGACCTTAAAGATTGTAAAACAAATGCCCAAATTATAAGATGCATCTACAATATTTTATAAATTTAGTATATTTATAATAGAAGTTTCTATAACTACATAGTACAACCAAAGATGCTTATAGATCTAATTTGCATCTAAGAAGCTTCCATTTTTCTACAAAAACATTATCATTAAATCAACTTGAATCTACTTATTTCTATTTACTTTACAAACCTATGTAATATAGAAGTGATGACATTAATCATTTTTATCTCTCTGTTTCTACTCAATTTTTAGAAAACCATCCTCCAGCCATATAAAAATCTAAATTGGCATAAAATTTAAAAAAACAAAATATGCAAAAAATATTATTTATTATAGTCTTTGATTTATAATTTATTTTAAGGTGGTTGGTGGGTTCTTTAAACCATGAACAAAATTATATGATTAAAAAAGCCTCATAATTACTATTTAACAAAATATTTGAAATACCATTAAACTTAGTGTCTACTTTTAATAATATCACCAAACACCAAAAACCTCTTCTAAGATTTTTATATTAAATTTATTATAAATTATTATGAGGTCTGAAATCATGATGAAGATTTTTACAAAATTATAATATTGAAAATTATAATTCTATGAATTTTAACAACATAAATAATTTTTTAATATATATTACAATTAATAATATATGAAATCAAAATAAATAAATATATGAATAAATATATAAATAAATAGGTCTATATTTTCATATCCTTTTAAACCAAAATTTATAAAGAAGTTAGAAAATAATGTAGGGAGGAATATCAAAACAAATATCAATAAGAAGTTAGGAAATTAAAATATTAAAAGTAACAATGTTTCATTATTAATTCATTTTTTTCTTAAACTTCTTTGGTTTACATCTTTATTTTTAGGAAATACTTCAAAAAATGATTTTTACAAAAAAATTATGAGATTATTATTTTAGAAGTCATATATCTTTATATATATAGAGAGAGAGAGAAAAAAAATAATACATTGTACTATTATAAATAGGCTCAGGCTACAAACACGCCCAAAGTTACTATATGCACATCTGTGATGTCTAAACACACCCAAAACTTATAATTGACTTAACCAGATCCTTTCTCTCTTGTCCCAGCAGGGGTCCCAATCCCTTCTTCCTCAACCTCAGTTCTTCTTCCATAGACTCAAATCTGCTGTTACTTCGTAGTTTCCAATCTTTGACAGCGAGAGCTCATCCGGCAGAAAGCCTACCGATTTGAAGGAATGCATTAGTTTTCAGAGGAAGCTCTGCATCCTCTCTAGCACTGTGTGCAAGGGGACGAACTCCTGGGTAACAAGCCCGTCTAGTGTCAATACACCATCTTGTTTTCGACGAATTAGGAGGTGACTTCGAGAGAATCGATTTAATGACTGAGGAGAATTGCGACACCGTAGTTACCTTGCTAGCAATGCATGCGGCCAAAGCCTGCAATCAATCGCACTATATCATACAAAACCTAATTTAAATCATCCAAAATCCACTCAAAAATAAAAACACCCCAATTGGCTAAAAACCTCTCATGGTGCATCCGATGGAAAAATAATTGTTGAATCAGCTCTCTTTTTACTAAAGCTGGTGTATACAGAAAACTCGAAATAACTTTACGCTTTCGAGCTTCTACCTCTTGCTCGCTGTTCCGTTGGTTGTTTTTTTTTCCTTCTTCACCGCAGCCGTGTCCGCAGCATGCAGCCAAACTCCCGTTCCTAGGAAACGTTCCTCCTCATCAGTTCAGGTGTGATAATATGTCGACAAATTAATCAATTTGAAGATCACTAACCCACGCATGCAAATGTGCAAATAATATGTACTGAATAACTTTGACAAGCAATGAAGATCATTTCCACTTGGATGGTAAACCTCTGGCATCATGAACCAGATCAGATGGTCACCTCATGCACAAGTCCAAATGGTCTTCTAGTCAATGACCCACAACGACCCACACTTAAGATTATAAAACAGATCCTTCACTCAGGCGAGGCTTTCTCTCGGGGCTGTTCCCTTCTGAAGGTTCAGTTGGTTCCACCATTTTCCTCTTAGAGCCACAAGTGGAACCTGAGTTTTCACTAGCGGTTCCCAAAGAAGTGTCCAAAGTTATGTGGACAGGCCTTGTGTGACCCCGCAATCGTTTGACGTCTGCCATATTGATTGGCTCAATAATGAATTCTTCGGCACCTTCCACTAGGCATCTGTGAGAAACGCAACGCAACACGTGTGATGAGTTTAACACATCCAGTTGTAAACTTCACAATCAACCAAGATTGAAATGAAAGAGAATGTACTGAACGGAATTGATCAAGGATTTCAGTCAAAAAGCATCGTTTAATTATAATGTGCAATTGTGGCAAAAGAAGCTTTCCCTACATACAAGAGGAAAAGAGGTGGCCAAACCCGTGTAGGGGTGAGAAGGGCCAAGTCCCATGTTTGGATAAGAGAAGAGAGATCTGGATGAGCCAATTAGAAACTTGGGTGTGTGTATAGACATAATGGCTGTATGTGCAGCAACTTGAGGTTTGCTTGTAGCCTAAGCCTTATAATAATCATAATTATTAGTAATAAGTTTATCAAATATGTTTATGAATAAATTAATAGTATAATTTTAATCACTTTATTTAAAAATTTGGTGTTCTATTTGTTAAAAATATTAAATATATGTACATAGATATTATTTTTATTTTTGATGGTTTAAAAAAATCAAAAACATTTTATGTGAAGTAATTTAAATGTATATAATTTAAATTTGAATTTAAGATTATCATTAACATAATTATAGAATTTATTTAAATATTTTTTTATTTTTGATAGTCTTAACACAAGACATGGATTGTACTATTTTGATTAAAAAAAATCCAACATTATAATAAATCATTACAAAGATTGAGGTTTGAAGATTTATCTTAATGAGTATAGAAATAAAATATTAAAAGATGTTTCAATAAATCTATAAGATTTCAAATAATAATATTTTTACAAAATATATTATATAAATATATAATTTAAATCATAAAAAATAAAACTTTAATAGATTCTATAATTTTATTTAATAAATAAATGCTTGAAAGTCATATTGCATGCAATTTTTTTTAATTATACAAATGTCCTTCAAATAAGAGAAATTACTTTTCAGCCATGTTTAAAATTAAAATTTAAGATTTCAAAAATTATTATATTACTTTTGTATATTTATTCCTCATTAATTTGGCTTAATAAGTTTTTTGTGTAATAATATAGTAAATTGAAATAACTCATAATTATATTTTTGTTACAATTCAAAATTTTATAAATCATTAATTACTTTATTTTATTTTAGAAATTTTCTCATGTTTAATAGTTTTTTATTTCTTAGAATATATCTTAAATTCATCAAATTATCTATTAAAATTTTAAATATATTTTGATCATTTGCAAATCTAAAATACTTCACAATATAGTTATGATCTTTTTAATAATTCTAAAATATAACCTTTTTATTTATTTATTTTATATGCTTATTAAATTTAAAATAACTTATAGATATGTTTTGGCATAAATTATAGTTTGATTTAATTGGTAAATAAAGTTAAATTTAAAAAATTAAAAATTATTAATATTAATAAATATTAATTTTTTAAATTCAAAATAATACTTATGTATTTGCAATAATTTTTATAAATTATTGAAACAAGAAGAAAACTTGAATGTCAAGTAAGCTTCTTAAAATAAAATTTTAAAAAATATTATTTAAAAGTAGCCAATTTATTCTATGATAAGTTGTAGATTGGTCCATATAATAATTGACTTATTTTTTAAAGTTTGATTGCACTATTATAAAGACAATGCTTAAACTATCATAACTATATACAATCTATTTATTAGAAGAACTCTATTTTTTTTATAATATTAAAGAATTAAATTTTAATTCTAAAAAATATAAGCTACAATATTATATATAAAACATATGATCAAAATATGATATATTACTAATTTAAGAATATAAACTTTATAATAAAAAAGCATGAGAAATTAGAAAATCAATTTAATCAAATGCAAGTTTTTACATTTTCAAAATAGCTCTTAGATATTTTCTTGGCCCCAATTGTACAAGTGTAGATGGTATATGCATTTTAGTCATACCACATATCAAATATCTTACACACAATGTAGAGTTACTTTTAAATGACTAAGTTTTTTTTAATTACTTTCGAAGATAGCTTAACAAATTAAATTGACATTGTTAATATATATGCTTCTAATAAATATTATAAAAAGACAAAAAAATGACTAGATTTAGTACACATACTTTTTACGTGTCATGGACATATATATTTATCTAGATAGAAAGTTTTAGGTAAAAAAAAAAAAAAAAAAAAAAAAAAAAAAAAAAATGTAGGTAGATTTCATATTATCTTGTGGCAAAGCTTCTTAGAAGCCTCATAGATATGTATTTAACCTTATACATGTTTATAGCTAATTGATAGCCATTCTAATTTAATATTATACTATTTTTGAGTAATTCTCTTGTCTTTTTGAGTGACACAAGACTGTATTCAACTTTTAGTTCTTTGAGATTCATGTCCTTGATACTACATGGTATTCATGGATTTTTAGAAGAAATTAGAATATGAAAAAATTATTTGAAGCCAAATCATTATTTTTTGAGAGGATATTAATTAAACTTGAGCTTACTGCATGGAATAGTTCAATTCACAATATGATATTGAAGATTTTTTTGAAGCCATAGCAATAATAAAATTAAAATTATACATATATATATATATATATATATATATATATATTGAAACAATAAAAAGATAGAATTAAAACATTGATAAGTCTTAATAGATTTTATTTTAATATTATCCTATTTTCAAGGTAAAATAATCTGAAAGATATAAAAAGATAAAACAAGCTTTAAAAAACCTAAAAAATGAAATGAAAGTTATAAATAATGAAAAAGAAAATCTTAAATATGATAGTATTGATGTAATTTTTTTTAATGCATTAAAAAATATTACTAAAAAAGACTATCTATTCATGTTCAATCAATCGTTAATATATGGCTTTGTTTTGTACATTGTTATTTACAAAAAAAAAAAAAACAAAACAAAACAAACAAAAAAACAAGCAAACAAATAAAAACATAAACAAAAGAAAAAACCATTTTATTTCACAAAAAATAAAAAAATAAAACAAAAAGAAAAAAATCTTAATAACTAGAGATCAATTACTGCAATATACAATTTAAAAGATTTTCACAAAAATATTGCAAAGAAGATTAAACAATATTTTAAAAAAAATTATCCATTCTAAAATATTTTAAAAAAATTATGAGATTTACTTTGGATAATATCTTGGTAGTCCAAAAAACTATTTAATAGGCTAAAAAAATAAATATCTACTTATTTTATTTAAACTATACTATTCCAAAACATATGATAAAGTATTATGGTAATATTTATTTGTGATACTTTAGAAAGTTGGATTTAATCATGTTTTTTTTTGAAAATGGTTAAAATTTGGTTTAATAGAGTAGAAGCCTCTTTTAGTTTCAATGAGACATTAACCAAGGAATTTTTTAAAAAAAATTTTAAAAAAATAAAATTAAAACTAAGAAATAAATTGGATTATTAGTTCCTACAAAAACTCAATATAATACAAAGAGTCATTGTTAGTAAAGTTTTTTTTTTTTTTTTTATCCTCCACATATTCTTTTAAGATGTAGTTGCATAAATAAATAAATGTAACAATCACTCAACCACCTGCTCATTCTTAATCCACTAAGTGAAAATAAGAAGATTCTACCAAAAATTCATTCACGTCTTTTCCAAGTTGTGGTCTTTTAATTAGTGTTTTGAGGTAAAAGATAAAGATGAATAGATAATAGTTAAAGTAGAATAAGTTACCTCGTAAAGGATATTACCTTAGGTAAGTTACTAATGGTCAAAGGCTTGACTCTTGGCATATAGAAAAAGCATCCTATGGACATAGGATGCGATCAAGGACAAAGAGTCAAAGTCAAGAGGATAAAGTGTGTCTTAGGGAATATCCAAAGAACTAGGTAAGAGTAATTAGTATATGGCATAGGATACCCTCGTGGTATGTAAGATGCCATAGAATCCTAGGATCCTTGGATACCCTTGTGGTATGAGTCAAAGGATTCAAGGAGCATATGTGTAAAAGTCAAATGGTGGAAGAAGTCCTTTTAGGACAGCAACCACCACCTATAAGTAACGAGAGTTGGAAGAGAGAACCATCTCATTCCACACTTCTCTTATGTGCAACCTTGTTGATTTCTACTTACTTAAGTTATGCTTATAGTATTCTTTTCTCAATATAGTGTGTCCCGAATTCAAAAGGATATTGCGCATAACTTGCAACAGTAATTTGGTGGTCAAGCAATTTTCGTACTGGGGCAAGAATTTCTAGAATTGCATATTGCAAGAATCAGTGCAAACAACTGAAGAGCGGACGCAGAAAAGGACATCACTCACACTCCAGCATTGGAAGGCAATGCTTCAAGTTCTATACCGTCTACAAATTGGAGTTGCTGATTATTACACAGTCTTAATTGTAAACGATAAATCTTAGCTAGATCTGATTTTGCCAAAAGTATACTACAGCTGATTTGGATTCGCTATCAGATATTTGATTTGATTTAGAAACTGAAGAGACCAGCTTTGGACGAGGATACGAGAGTTAAAAGCGCAGAGAAAGTAGCGATGCTTAGATTCCTGGACTGCCTGCTGGTGCGTAATGTATCCTGCATTATGGAGTCCACAGAAAAGAGGTTCAACATCAACCTTGACTTCCAACCCACGCCAAGTTTTGGAGGAATCCGAAGCCCTTCCGTGGACAGAGTTGCTCTGTAACTCGACGTGGATGCTATTCTTCATGTCCAAGTGGGATATGGCTTAGCCAAACGTGACCCGAGCTACTGCATTTTTTCTCGATGACGCTGCTACTATCAAGTACGACCATTTTGGCTTCGATTACACGTTAGACAAGACTATGTTTCTAAATGGAGAAATTTCTTGTGCCAATCAATGAAGAGACAGAACCTGCTGCTGGCGCTGAATCAAGAAACTCAGATGCTCAAATATTTAATAGGGATTCTATATTTAGTTAGAAAATGAACAGATGAAAAGCAGAGGAAATCAACCATGTTAAGATCGGAAAACTTGTATAAAACGAAGGTTCTAGTACAAGACGATGTTATAGATAGTAGAAGATTCAAGGTCAGGCTCTTCGAGTCGTTAAGATGTCTCCATCATAAACATATAATAACTTTCTTCTCGGGATATTGATCGAAAAATACACAAAGATATCAATGTCCTCTCAGCAGCCTCGCATTTTGACCGTCTCCGAAACGCGCTCAT